TATGTATTACAGTGTGAACTGCCGCCTTCAGTAGCTGAAATGACCGCCAGTTTCAGGAAACTGCAGTTTGTCTCTATAAAAGTTAAATCTGATCCGTGTCTTTTCTGTGAAGGTGCGTTTCAACATCGCCACGCATCAAGGGACCAAAGAGGAACGAGCGACTTTCGTGGAAATTCTCCCCGACTCCTTCGAAGAGTCCATTGAACAACGCCGACACGTACGTCTTTCACCCAGACCGTCTCTTCACAAACAGTACCAAGCCGAACCCTCTGACGTGTCTTAATGTTTCTGATGTGTTTCTCCAACCAGGGCATCGTCATCGAGTTCAGCGTGGACTCCGGGCTCATCAAGTGCACCCAGAACCCTCAGCTGTACTTCCACATGTCCGAGGTGATCGAGAAGAAGAGACTGGAGCTGAACGAGAAGGTCGAGTTCAGTGTCGTCCCGGTGAGTCCAACTTTTTCCTCCTCCTCATCCTCGTCCTTCAGCTGGGCATTTTTCCGATGGCTGAGAGACTTAATTAGTTTTAGACATTCATAACCAGACCCACCAGGACTCGTGGCTGCGGGTGAGTCAGAACCACCATCAGCCACTGATGTGAAGATTTTATTGTTTGTCTCATTACAACATTCAGAGTTTTACCAAATGAAATTTTAATATCAGGTAAGAACGGTGTTCTGAGTTGGTGTTATCCACGTTGAAAGCTTTCAATTGTCTGGAACATAAGTACATAGAGGGTTAACCTCCGAACTTCTGTTTCAGAAGTCTTTAAAAATGTTAGTATGAATTTACTCTGGTCTGGACTTAAAGCCTCGCTGTGACACTGTTTTTTATCATTTACTTAAAGAAAAATCTTTCAAAGTGAACAAACCTTAAACTTTGCTCTCAACAGTTCGAGCTGAGAGTTCGTAGAGTTGGTCTCAGATAGTCTGACGTGCAGTGGTCGAATTGTTAATTTTTAACAAGGGGGATGCAATGTAGCTTTGATTTTTTTGCGTGCACACATCGTCAAATATGACAGCACAGATGTGCAAAATTAATCAAGATAAAGAAAAATGGCATGACCTATACCTGCTGCCTTTAAAAACACAAATAATGCAGTAGTATTGCTATTGCAATACGGACAAAAAACATTTTAGAGTATTCATAAGAGTAGCTCTGAAATAGCTGTGAAAATTAATCTTAGAGTCACTCTTATCCTACAGACATTTCCTTAGCCAGTTATAATTTCTCCTAATCTGTGAAGCCTTGGGCTGATAATTGGTGCTGCTGTCAGGTCCCTGTCCTGATACCTGCCTAGTTTCTCCCTGTCCCTCTTCTATCTGTTGCAATAATATAGATAATAAATGTGCAAAGCAAAAGAAATAGAATTAAGAATAATAGTGGTGACATAGCTGTAGAAATTAATCGCACAGTCACTTTTATGCTCTAGATATTTTCTGTCAGCCAGTTATAATCTCTCCTGCATGATCATCCTTGCTGGCCTCTGGTCCACTGTCTCCTTCCTGACCCTGCTCTTTATATTGTGGCAATATAGATTTAAAAAAATATGTGGAAAGCAATAGTGAGCACAAGTTCTTATTAAGGAGGAGTGGGTTTATTCCTCGCATGAAACTAGCTAGCAAGGTATTTAACATAGGAAACAATAACATTAGTGTTCTTGTTAACTAGCTTAACTTGATATATTGGCATCTATTAATTAGTCATCATTTAGCGAACATTATCTACATGCAACAGCATCACTCAGCTTACACGGGTTTGGAAGAAACTGTGCAAGGTTTTTTGCTTCTTGCTGGCTGGTTTGCTGAACATAGTTAACACTCATCAGCACTGCCCAGCAGCACACGTCTTGTCTGTGTGCGATTGACTCTGATCACAACATGACAGCATGTGTATGCGCCTTCTCATGGTGCGTTTAAAGATGGCTCGGAAAAACACGTTACCACATGTTAAAAACGAATTGGACGGCGTTAACGACTGTAAAAAGTGTGGGGGACAGAGGGCACAGATATGGGAAGTGCGGTGGACATGTCCCCTGCATCCCCCCCTCAAATTACGTCCGTGCCTGCACACACAGATTCTAGATTAACAAGAGGGATGCTTTTTGGTCAATTTTCTAACAAAGGGGATGGCATCCCCCCCATCCCCCCTCAATTCGACCACTGCTGACGTGTCAAATCGAACACTCTTGAGGTTAAATACTGGTCATTGTCACGGCGTCCTGGTTTGTATAATGTGTCTGTCATTGTTTCTCCAAGCATGAGACAGCAGAGGGCGGGAACCAGGCCATCAGGATAAAACGTTTCACCGAGAGCGTTTTCTTCCCTGTTCGGAAGTTGGGAGGAGTCGGTGCAACCAAAGGGAAGGTGAGGAGGGCTGTAGTTATATTTATAGTTATGATGCGAGACAGAATGAAGAGCTAACTCATTTGTGTTGATTCAGTTATTTAGTCGACTTTAAACTCTTTCAATAGTATAGAAGTTGTATTCGGTTATTTTCACATGTTGTGTGTTAAAAATGTGCCCAACATTACCTTTGAAGTAAATACAGTGAGGTTTAATAAATATTAAAGAATGATTTCACGGTCTCATGTAAAACTGTACATTGATTTTATATTTTAATTTACCAGTTCTCTGTGAATTTAAAGGAAGACTTCAACCACAAAATGAATATCAGTTACTCACCTCGGATTAAGCAGGATTTTTACTTGTGCAGCAGACCCTACACCGCTGTGAGCATTAATACCTGTGCAGTGGTGTGTCTGTGTCACTCTGCAGTTACACCTCCAAAACACTAGTGGGCAGCGGAGGGTTCTGTGAAGTGCCGTAAAGTTTAGTTGATTCAAAATACACAAACACATAAACACATATTAAAGAAACACACATTAAACACACATTAAACATGGTTTATTAGAGACAGTTTCAAACACAAATCAGCTTCACTATAACTCACAGCATTTTGTCTCACAAGCCCTTTTTTAACAGGAGCTGTTCAAATTTGCAGGAAAGCCCAATCAGTGTTTTTTCAGCATTGGCAGTATAAAAAAATCGGGGAGTGCAGCAAAATGCCGCCTACCTACTTTTGTTTATACAGAATGTGCCTTTTTCGGGGCAATGGGGGGCGTGAGCAAGTAACAAAACGTGTAGCTCAGCGTGTGACGTAAACAGTGACGTGGGAGGGAAGCCGCGGCTTCTCGTAAGTCGGCCCGTTCTTCACCGTCCCCGTCATCTGATGGTTAATGGCCTCTTCGTTTGCGAGGACAAGGAGGGCGCGCAATTCCTTGTCTCCCCAGTTGCTCATCTTTACAGTGTCTGTCAGGTTTGTGTTTCCCTCTTGCTACTAGCTGCTCGCTAATTCCTGCTATCAGCTGTTTCCTGTTTATCCACCGCCAGTGGCTCGCACGTGCGGCGTCATCTCATCAACAGCTCCTCCCACAAGTCATCAACAGCTCCTCCCACAAGTCATCAACAGCCCCTCCCGTGGTGGACGGCCGCCTCGGTCTGTTTACACTTGAAGGGTTCCACCAATATGTCTACCCTACGAGGCGGTAAATTGGGCACCTCGGATCAACTCGCCAGTCCGGCTCTGTGTGTCTAAATGCTCGCAGCTTGCCGGCAAAACGGCCCAAAATTCGCTGAAAAAATGGCAGTGTAAAAGGGGCTAGAAACAAACACTTGTCTTTATCTGGACACATTTTCCCAATAAATACAACATGCTAATGTTTTTAGCACAACCCTATGGTATTTTACACTGTATAAATTAGCCTAGTGGCCACGGGACTTTTCCGATACTCAAATGAAGCCAGTGACATTTTGTGGGTGAAGTATTCTAACAAATTTTAAGGCATTGTTGTCACAGGATGTTGGCAGAGATCTTTTTCTAATGTCAGACTCTTATCATTGTCAGATGACCATCAAGCTGGCAAAAGCTTCAGAAGACACTGAGTGAGTAAAGAGTAGTTTTTTTTAAAAGTTGGAACATGATCAGGTATGCAGTAAAGAAAGACATGGATTGTCTAATATGTTTCCAGAGAGATGTTATGTAATTCAAATGTTTACCTATAATATGTAAATATAGATCTAAGTTACATTAATAACCTAATGAGGTATTGGTGTACAGGATGTGTAGAAGAACAGATTCTGTAAAATTGTTCTATTGAGCCCGTCATGTCTGAGGTGTCTTTTTCCCTCTGACATTTCAGGAAATTAAAACCCGAGACAGACAAGCTGAAGGCGGTGGTGAAAAATCTTAGAGCGCAGGACAGTAAGACCAGCGTCAGCAGAAGGGACTACTGTGCCAGTCGCCGTAGATATGGCAGGAGCAGAAGTAGGAGCAGGAGCAGAAGTAGGAGCAAAAGTAGGAGTAGGGCCAGAAGTAGGAGTAAAAGTAGGAGCAGGAGTCCGCCAAGAGATCAGTTTGGACGTGTACCCAAAAAGAGACGCAGTCCCAGCATTGACCGTGACCGTAAAAGCAGCAGGTTCAGGCGAAGCCAAAGCCAAGAGAGGCTGAGGAAGCCCACCAAGAGCCGCACTAAGAGCCGCAGCAGGAGTCGCAGCCGAAGCAAGAGCTCAAGCAGGAGTCGCAGCAAGAGCCGCAGCAGGAGCAGGGAGAGGAGCAGGGAGAGGACCAAGGACAGGACCAAGGACATCAAGAGGAGGAGCAAAATCAGCAGAGACCGCGAAGAAAGTCACAAGAGGAGGAGGGAGTTAAGCCCTCCTCTCAGACGTGCTGGAGTTGTGGACGACGAGCTTGCAAGGAAGAAGCGGGAGCTGGAGGAGCTGAACGACATGATTGCCTACAAGAAGTCACTGGTGGACCCTGGACAGAGAACATGCATAGACTATGACCACGGCAGGATCACTGTCCCACTCACTGAGTACAAACCAGTCCGGTCCATCCTGAAGAAACGACCAGATGGACCTGATTACCACCATCGCCCTCAGCCCTATGACGATGCGTATTATGACCGGCCATACAGTCCTTACCAAGATCGACGCTACAGTGACCACTACAGTGATCCGTATGCCAGTCGTTCCTACCCTGATCGCCCGTATGGGGAGCGTCCCTACAGTGACCGCCCTTATGAAAGTCGTCTCTATGGTGAACCTTCCTATAGTGGCCCTCCGTCTGCCAGCCAGCGTTACACTGATCGCTACGATGTTTATGATGAACCCTATGACGATCGCTACTATGATCCAGCTTATGCGGACCGACCTTATGATGATCCGTATCACTCTGTCAGACGGAGCCAATCTCCAGAACCCCATGGTCCCTCACCTTCGTCCCAGCCCGGCCAAGTTCCTGCTGCTTCCACCCAACCTTCGTTGATGCATACTGCTGCCACTTCATCTCCCCAGCCCCATTTCAGACCTCCCTCTCCCACAGAACCTCCTCCTAGAAGCCCATCTCCCAAACTGAAGACCACAATACCACACCAGGCACCTCCTACTGTGAAACCACCCCTCGATCGCTTCCTTGACATGCTTAATAAAAAGGTGGATGCTGAGAAGGAAGCAGAACCTGTTCTTGTGAATGATGACCTTCTGCCTCATGAGCGGGCACTTCAGGATGGCAGGGGTTTCTCTCGGATTGTGGGACTGGCTCAAGAGCAGCCCAGCAACAGTCTTGCTCTAGAAGCGATAAAGACAGAGCTAAGCCCTAAAAGATCCTCAGTAGAAAGATCAGTAGAGGAACCAAAGATCAAGACAGAACCCTACGACAAGATTCAAAGTCTGCTCCGTACAATTGGCCTGAAGCTGAGTACAGGAGATATGTCCAAACTGGCCAGCAGAGCCCAAGAGAAAATCTACAGCCCAAAGTCCTCATCCATAGAAAGGGAGATGTTGTCATCCCCAAGGGAGGAACGGCAGACAAGTAGAACCGGTTCTGTTGAATCAGATCACATCCATTCCCCCTCCCCTGCCAGGTCCTCCAGTTTAGAGCCACTCAGCAGATCTAAAGCTGTCTCAGAGTATGAAGGATTCCTGGACCAGCAGGAGTTGGAGGCACTTAAGAAGGCACAACAGCTGCAGAGTCTCACCAAGACAATGGGGAGCACACCCTCCACCACTCCTCCTCCGAAACCTCCTCCTGGGCCTCCGCCTACCCACTACCAACATCCATCCCCACCAGTGAACTGGCCCCTTGGAGGCACTACCCAGATTCCTCCAGAACAGGGCTCCAGCATGGGTGCACCAGCTCCTCCTGTAGCTGGTCAGCCACCACGAGTTGGACTTCCTGCAGGACCTCCCCCTGGACCTCCTCCACGGCGTCCTGGACAGCCTCCAGGACCTCCTCCTGGGCCTCCACCCCGGCGCCCTCTTGGACAACCTCCTTTTGCTCCACCCTCCAGCCATACAGCCTTTTCTTTCGCTGGCCAGCCTCCTGCAGCTCCACCCCTTAAATCTTCCAGTCCTTTGCAGCCTTTAACCACTGCTGCCGGAGTATCACCACCACCATCATCGACAGCTGCAGCATCAAGTCCCTCAAATGATAATGAATCAACCATCTCTACGACAGTGGCCAGGTGCCTGAAGGTCATAGAGACAGTGAAATCTCTGGCTGTACAGCCACCAGCCAAACCGGTCAAATCAGTTCAGTTCAGTTTACCCACTGTCTCTCCACCAGTCTCCAGTCATCAGACCTCAGTGGAGACAGAGGAGGACATAAAGATCAAGCAGAAGGAAAAGGTATGGTACTACTGTAGTGACACCTTTTACTAAAGTTCAAGAAAACAAGTACTCAAGAAGTAAACCTAAGAGAACTCAATGGGAAGAGTTTTGTTGGACTGATAAGAACGGTGTGATTTTTGACACAAATTGAAAGGGGCACTTTAAAGCTGCTGAAGTACAGTTGCCACAAAGTATTTTTTGTCTTTGGAGAATGTGGTGAAGAATTTGTATCTGCTGTCAGTCATCAGAGTTGTTTAGTTTTCTCATGCGCATGTATACCCTGGTAGTCTTGACATACAGTACCGAAAGACCGTTATGTTCAGCTGTGTAGGATAAAGCTTTTGTATGTGTGTTTGTGTTGCAGCTGGATTTGTACAACCAGAGGGTTTTGGAAAAGAGGGAGCAGCAATACAAAGATTGGCTAGCTCGCAGGAAACAGAGTGGAGAGTGGAAGGATGTCCCACCAAACCCCCCAGGTATCAGATCTTATTCAGTTACATACATACAATATAACGACCAACCTTTGAATTACAGGATTATGTGATGTAAGCACTGATCAGCTGAAACATTAAAACCACAGATGAAGTGAATTACATTGATCGTTTCATTACAACCCGATGTTCCTCTGGGAAACTGTTGGTCCTGGCATTCATTTGGATTCCACTTGACATACTTCACCCACCCAAACACTATTGCAGACCAAGTACCATCACTCGTGGCAGCGGCACTTAGATGGCAGTGGCCCCCTCAGAGCAACACCATGAAAATCTGCTCAAGAATCACCCAAGGAACGGGACAGACCTCGCCTTCAAATTCTCCAGATCCCAAACAGACCAAGCATTCATGGGATGCGCTGGGACCCCAGAGGTACTGCTGATCCTGAGTCAGGCCTCCTTGGATCAAACATGGCTCTGACCTGTCAAAGCATAGGCAGAGGAACTCTGGGGATGTTCTGCATTGTCTGGCACCAGGGTGTTGGCGGCCAATCCTTTGAGTCCTGTGGGTTGTTAGGCGGCATCATGGCACATCCCATGGATGTTGGATCAGATTGGGATCTGGCGAATTGGAGGTCAGGGGGATGCCTTGAGCTCTTTGTTATATTCCTCGTGCCATTCCTGTGCAGTTTTCACAGTATGGCATGGTACACTTCACTACTTCACTTCACCTGTCAGAGGTTTTAACATTTTGACTGATAGGTGTAAGGTTATGTTCTTGGCGTGCTCGACATTAAGTAACAGCTGCATGCTATTTATGGTCCCTTTAGGGCTAAAGATGAACACGCTGTTTTCTTCTGTGACTAGACAGGTATTTTGAGCAAGTTAAAATAGATTTCTACCTCTCAGATGTGGTTACTCAGTTATTTGAGTAACCACATCTCTGGAGATACCGTAGAAATGTTAAGAAGCTAACATGATCGAAGTATCACCGAGCTCTGTTTGGATCTTACTATGATTAAGAAGGCCTAATTACCCCGTCAGGCCTCGTGGTAGACACCAGTCTAGTGCGGTTTCTGCCTCTCAGTTGAGGTGGTCTTGCAGTCTCACCGTTGATTCCCACAAGGTAGGAAGTGCTTTAGAATTCAGCACAGGATTTCACTCAACGGCCGAAGCTACACTAATGTCTCGTGGATTATTATAATGTATCTTTATTTATTCACTCTGTGATAGAGATCAACAGTTAAAGCAAGAAGGTTTGTCCTGGACATGGCCTTTCTTGTGCTCTCCCAGGTCAACAAACGTGTGGTTGCATTATTAAGGAGCTGCAGTCAGCTACAGCAGAACTTCTGACGTAGTAACAGAGCTCCCGCACATAGATACTGCTACACCTCGACATGGAGCCATAAAACTGTCTTGAGGTTACCTAGCCTTAACGTGCATTGCAGTGCTATAAACCTCTGTCATTCATCTGCCGCGCTCGTTAGCCGAGCCTAGTGGCTCGCCCCAGCGATCAAGAAAAGAAGCCAACTGCAGTCTCAACTCCACAAAGTAACATCTTTTTCCTCTTCATATGGTGACACCATTGGTATCTAGATCATGAAGGGTTCAGATAGACGTGTATTTAGTAAGGTAAAATACTGTTTGAAATTTCTAGATGCCAGTGCCGATGCAATATGAGTTTCGGTCCTGATACCGACACTGTATTTTCTGATACTTGGTTAAGGTTTAAGTAAACTAAACTATGAAATTGATCAAAGGTACCTGACAGTTTTCAGTACTTTATAGGAACATTTTGGGCATTAATAAAAAAATGTTCAAGGTATGACACCCAGTCCTGGTAGTTAGCTAGACATGTAATTACTCTACTACTTTTCAAGCAAGGTAGTTTCAGTAGGTTTGGGTGTTCCGTTTCCAGAGTAATTATTGTTACACTCATCGGTCAGCGGTTACCCACTTCTACAGAGTCTGAGCCAGGTCACAGTAAAGCTGTTAAGGGTAAGTCAAGTCAGCAGTGTAGCTGTGATTTCAGGATATCCAGAAATGTGACATTTTAACAGAAGATCCAGAAGACTCCTCGTCATCGTGGCCATGAAAAGTAAAGCCTTTCTGATTCCTTTGCAGTGACAGAAGTTAGTGTTGTACACGTTTGGATATCCATTATCAAGACTATGATTCTATTCCGTTGGTATTTGTTAGCAGTGTTGTAGTCCAGTCACCAAACCTCGAGTCCAAGTCGAGTTTCAGCCTTCAGTTTGAGCCCAAGTCCATGTCACCGAATTGATTAATGCAAGGCCAGATTAGAGTCGTCAGAATAATGTTGAGCGGCGGAGTCATGACCAAGTCCCTGAGGTAAGGATGGCATGTCTGAAGACATTTCCACATCACTGAAGACATTTTGGAACTGTAGACGGGCTTCTTATTTTTATCCGGCAGATTACGTCAGCAATCGCTGGTGATGTAGCTTCCAATCTATGACACTAACGTTAGCTCAGGAAGCTAACGTTGAATGCTTTCAACCTCATGTTTCGGTCATTGGTCAGATATCTTTAACTTTGACAAAATCATTAACACAGTAAGTGGTAAATTTTGTATCTGCAGCCAGTAAATACTACTTTTGAAAGATATGGTCAATATGAAGAATATGATGAGTGATGTTACCGTAGCATCGTGTCCAAGCTAATTTTGTTAAAGTCTAGCTAAAGTATATCATAGACATATCAACCTATATTACCCTCTCAACATTATAACTGTAAACTGGGACCTTTGTATCCTGAGCTGTGAACTAGCTTGTCCTTTTAGTCTGAAGCTGATGTTAGCTCAGGAAGCAAAGTTGAGAGCTTTCATCGCCATGTACGGGGCGTCGGTCAGATACTGTTAACTTTGATAATATTGATAACACAGTAAGTGATCAACCCTGTGTCTACAACCAGTAAATGGTCATTACTAAGAATATGTGACGTTACTGTAGCATCGTGTCCAAGCTCATTTTGGTAAAGTTTAGCCAAAGTCTATCCCACATGTATCAAACCTAATTACCTTCTAAACGCTGTAACTGTAAATTATGACCTTTTGTATCCTGAGCTTTGAACTAGCTTGTCCTTGCAGTCTGAAGTTAACATTAGCTCAGGAAGCAAGCAAGAGCTTTCACCCTCACGTCCGGGTCGTTGGTCAGATATCGTTAACTTTGACATTGACATTATACAGTAAGTGATCAAATCAATACCTACACCTACTTTGAATGATATGGTCAACATTAACAACATGTTGAGTGACGTTATGTAGCATTGTGTCCAAACTAATTTTGTCCAAAATTGTATAAGTGTAGCTCAGATATTTCCCATATGTATCAAACTAAATGACCTTCTAAACGTAATAACTGTAAATTGGGACCTTTTGGATTCTGATCTGTGAACTAGCTTGTCGTTTCAGTTTGAAGCTAATGTTAGCTCAGAAAGCTAACATAGAGAGATTTTACCACAGGGGTCAAGTATTTAATGTCATGGTAGCTATTCCATCATGGGCATATCCTTTAAGTAATATTACCAAGAATCTCGTCCAAGCTAAATAGGTTTACTTTACAATAAAGTTAGCATATCACATGAGTATTTTAAGCATATTAATTTTTTGGATTCTGGGCTGTGAATTCCCTTTTCTTTTCAGTCTGTGAAAGAAAGAACGACCTACGCTAGCTCAGGAAGCTAACGTTGTAGGTTTAACATCATTTAGGTGTCAGATGGATATCGTTAGCTTTGGCAGTTTGAGGCACGACTCACTGTAGTCTGTCATCGGTATGGTAAGTAACTCTGTAACTCTAAGTGACTGTGGCGCCACTTTTACATGTAGTGGTGATTATTCTTAACCAAAATCTATAAAGTAATTTGCAGCCTCCACAGGCCAAATTTTTCCACGTTTTAATAAGTTAATTTAACAAGTGTAATGCGTACGTATTTTTAACTACAGTACCTGTAAATGGGACCCTTGAAATTACGCGCTTTTAACTAACCTGTCATTTCAGTTTGAGAGCTAATGTTAGCTCAGGGAGCTAACATAGAGAGCCTATAGCATTGTATCATTATTGTTATCTTTAGTAGTTCGTTATTTACGTTTAAGTTTTGAGTCAATGACTCAGGTACTCAGATTAGATTTGAATGTGAGACCACGATTCAGGAGGTTCTTTGCTAGGTCATTGTTCCTGTTCATAACACGTTTCGATGGTTTATAATTCAGAATACGATGCTAACAGGTATTAGAGGCATCGTTGGGCTCAAGGATGTCACCCAGATTATGTTTTTAGTCAATTTTTTGCTTTTGTTTCAGTCTGAATCAGCACAAACTCCGACTGTAGTGTCTCAGTCGGTGTTTGAACTCAGTTCCATCATCCAAACTTCAGTAGGCCATCCGTCATTCCTCTCACTTCTGTGCATTTAAATCCGCCGTGATCACACAGCGAGTCTCATCTTTGCTTTTACATGTGCTGCTCAGGTAACTCCTGCTTACATGTCACAGTCCTGTGGCCGTCACAGGACAAACAATCAGACTACCAGTTTAGATCAGATTGAGGTGGAGACAAGGGGATCCAGTATGGAGTCAGCGAACAGAAATGGAAAATGATAAATGACCTAAAAAAAAAGGTGTAAGATGATTTTTTTTTAAATGTTACAGATAGATGGGCCATTTAATCAACTTTTCAACCACCCATCAGTCCATCACCAGCCTACCAATGCAGTGAGTCTTTACAGTTTGATAATTATTACCAACATTATCATTTATAAATCAGTGATATACAACATTTGAAATCTAACAGACTTCTTTCAACCCAAAATACATTCATAGTTAAGTCTATTTTTACTGGAGACATCACAGAATGGTTTTCATTTAAGATTTAATTCCATTTCCTTTCTCTAAATGAAATACTGGATTTTGGATGAAATTCAGACCGTCAGAAGAAAAGTTTTGGAGTAAGACAACGTTTGTTAGTATAAAAGTATTATAGTGGAATATGAAGTTTTTAATAAGATCAAATGGGTTTTTTAGTAGGCAGTTTTGTTGCATGTTATATTTTACATAGTCAGCTTTGACAAATGGTTGTTGTACGTGAACTCAGCAGTTAGCTAGGGACGCCATATAAACCCTCAGATAAAAGTTGTTCACTGTGAGGGTAAGTGTTTTATTTTGAAGAGACTCAGAGGAGCTTGAAATGGAAAAGAAAAGTTAAACATTGCAGAATGGCAATATTTGTTGTCTTGACGTGAAGGTAGGTGATCGTTTTGGTCTTTTGATTATACTAATTGATCATGCTGAGATTTTTTTTTTCCCTTCTACAAACAGCACATAACTGTCTAAAATGACTCATTACTAAAGTCACAACAATAAAAACTGCAGATACATTTACCGCAGACATTTGTCTGTTGATCAGTAGATTAGTCTTCCTCCTCTTTAGATTAGTACATTTTGGGTTTTTGCTACATGAGAAAGTTTAAACTGTAAAGAATAAAATTGATTATTATCTGATCCAGTTACTTGAGTCAGTGAAATGATGATTGATGTGTTGAGCTAGAAGCTTTATTCAAGACGATGTTGCTTCTGATTTTATGAAGTGATACAGCACAAAATCAGCATACAGGTATTTGATAGAAACAGCTCCCAACAGGTTGATTATGTAGTATGGAGTTATTGGATCATATAGGGAGATTTTACGGTAAAAGTCTGCAGCTGGTTTCACAAAGATCAGCTTGCTTTGGTCCAACAGTGAGACCTCGTAGTGCAGTGGACATCTGTCCTTTTTCCTCTGGTTTCTTCAATTTTTTGCCTTCATTGGATGTCCTGAAAGAACATTTTTAATATTTGTTCAGTTGTTTTTTGACATTGAAAACAAATTCTGTGACCAGTTTAGCAGATCTCTGTGAAACCAGCCTGAGAGTTAACGTACAGTCCTTCAGTGCGAGAGACAGTTTGGGATCAGCTGGTGCAAAAACATTTTACAGCTTTGTAACTTAGAAATGTAATCTGTTACATTTCCAGGCACGCCCGTCACCAGCGAGCCCAAGAACGTTTGGATCTGTGGTCATTCGCTGGTGTACTGGGCCGAGTCACGGGCCAAGTCTCCGGAGGTAGGTATGCAGCTGGGCATGGACCCCAGCAAGGTGGCCATCTGGTGGAAGGGCACCCAGGGCATGACGTGGTCCCAGCTGCTGCCCCAGCTCCACCAGCTGAAGGTCACCTGGCCCAACCCAGACGTCCTCATCATCCACCTGGGTGGCAACGACCTGAGCACCGACAGCCCTACTGACCTGCTGGCCTCTGTCAAGAAGGACCTGACATCCATGAGAAGCATCTTCCCGCAGTGCGTCCTTGTGTGGTCCAACATCCTCCCTCGGAGGGTGTGGCGCCACTCGCCTGACAATCACGAAGTCGATCTGGTCCGGACCACAGTGAATCGCAGGATTCAGAACATCATCTCAGAACTGGGCGGCACCTCGCTGACCCATGACAACATTAGGTGCGGCGCAAACACTGGCTTGTATCGGGCTGATGGCGTCCATCTGTCCCCCAAAGGCATCGATGTTTTCAACCTGAACCTGCAGGACTTTCTGGAGAAGTGGGAGGCGGAGTGGAACTAGAGAAAAGCAAAGAGGCGTAAGAGTTATTTTCTGTTTTTATGTCGTCTCTTTTATTTCTGATGCTAGCTAGGCAGTTGCATTGATTCAAACAACTACAACTTCATTCAAGTTCATTAATCTCCATGTTTAAAGGATCCAGTTCTGTTTGTAGTTTTATCAGAACATGTAGGAACTTCAGTCGCACCTGTTACACATGAAAAACATGTTCGTCTCTCATGAAACAATAAAGTCGATAAACACTGTCGGATCTCACTCTGTTCATCTTCTTAATGAACGCAGTGTCCGTTAATGTTACACAACATCTTTAGCAACACAGTTCAGACTGAAGGTAAATGTGATTTATAACATTTTATCATTCATCATGTCATTTTGGTTTTTGGTGGAAAATAAAAAATGATTTATTCAAGTTTTTTTTAATGTTTTTAGTTAGTGCTGAATGATGCGACTTAGAATTTCTGTGAAATCCAAATTTTGCTAAAATTGAGGCATCATATCAGCCTTGTTGTTAAATACATTATCAGAATACAGTTAAACTAATGAAGTAAATACTAAAATAAAGCTCGTCATGTGCCATACATAATTCATGTTTGTTTTTTTCAGACTTCTCTAAAGACAAATTAAAAATGTTTTTTGTGAAGTTGTTATTTTGGAGTGTTCAGCTACTTTATACATGAAATATATATTGTTTTAATCATAGTGCAGTCATACTTTCATCTTAAAAGCTTAAGTTTTCTCTAAAATGATTTTTATTCACTACAGAATATATTTTACAAATTATATCTGATTGGCATGTTCGCATTAATTTAACATTCACTATAAAAATAAGCACAGTTTATTTTTTGGTAAAAACAACTTAACTGGAAAGAGACAATGCTCAAAAACTTAAAAGCTGCCAAGTCAATTTTTATTTATATACAAGATTCAAGATGAAGATGAACTTTATTGTCCCGCAAAGTGGGAGATTTGTCTTCACCCAAACTGTAGCCGTAAAAATACAACATACAACACAGTACAAAAGTCAACAATATAAACAAAACAAAGGGAAAAGAAGTTGAATAAATAACATCAGGTGCCAAAAATACCTGTAAAACACAAATCATTGAATCATAATTCAGTTCTTGTTCTGGTTTATATCTGCCATTATTAGATAAAACGAGCCGAAGAGACGTGCAGCATCTGCTCTCCGTCAGTAAAAATACTCCACTGTCAGTTTATGTGTCTCTAACAAGTGTCTAAACGAGACCTCAGAATGTCGTCACGGCGAACACGACTTTACAACCTGCTATGGTGGTGACGTGATGTGACCGTGGTGTAGTTTGTTTACAGCCTAATGTTAGCTTTTGTACTTCTTCTGATTGAATTAATTCTTCAATAATCATAAAGTTCCTCAGTGAAGATTATCTGACTGAACAAAACCTGAAGGATCAGAAACATTTTTTTATTTGCTTATTTTCTGCAAGACTCCAGAATCCAATTAAAAAAAATCTTCTTGGCTTTTTGACGAGGGAACCAGGGCGATGCTAATGTCAAGGTGATATCGCCATATTTAACTTATTGTGTTGAGGTTTGGGGAAACGCCTACAAAACCACCCTACAACCATTCTCCATACTGCAGCAAAGAGCCGCAAGAATCTGACACAGTGTTGGATATGGGAAACACACTGATAACCTGTTAATGAAGTTAAATGTATGGATCTGGCGGATTTTAAAACTGCTCAAGTCAAAGCAATAAATAACTTATCTATCAGTTTGTGGAAGGCAGTGGGTGGAGAAATCAATCAGAGTAGAGACATCAGACAGTTTAAAAAGAGCTACAAAGAAGATCTTCACAAAGGAGATGATTACAGAGAATGTAAAGCTCACTCAGGGTCAGACTGTTGTCACTATTCGCACGCACACTAGTGTCATCTATACTCTGAGTACGTCCTGGCTGTAGATGACTGAGTGGGGACGCTAGAGGGCGCCAGGTGCTTTTCTTTTTTGCAGTGGTAGTTTTTCTAAGCCACAAAGAAGACAACGTTGCAAAGAAGGATCATGTTTTGGGAAACTCAGCCCAAAACATTTCCTAACTGTATTGGCTCGTAGCTACATCGCCTAAGAGACAGTGGATGGAGTTTAACCAAGGGACTGTTACACTACAACTTGACAAAACAATTGAACAGTATAGAAAACATGCAACATGTCTTCTACAGTGGCGTCACTCGCTGTCAGGCAGCTAAACGTTTTACAACTACAGTGCTTGGATACAAATAGAGAGAACATTTGTAGAGCTACAGGATGATGTCGAGTCTGTCGCCCACCACAGACATTGTCTGTCCACAACAAAAGCTTCCTCGGGATAACAATGGATATCACGTCACTGGATATCACGTTACTGGGACTAAAGATCTACACAAGCGCTACGGCTTAATGTAACGTTACAGCACTGTGGTGAGGCCAGCAGGTCGACAGTGACTTCAGAGATGGTGAGAGACGCGTTTCATTAAGATGCTCTGGTAAGAATTGTTCATATACCTCTATCTGACTTGACTATCGTTTATTGTTTAGGGCTAAAATGTTTTAGTGAAAGGGAACTTCAGTTTGTGAAGGAATACTGCATGCTGTGCACCGTTTTAAAACCTGGCCGAAAATAACGGAGTAACGCACCGCTTGGTAATGGTAACTGAGTTACTGAATTTAAAAACTAACGCGTTACTGTAATGCGTACAACAATGCCTACAACATGACCTCCAGCAGGCTACTGGTGTGCATGTTTCTGACCACACTGTCAGAAACAGACTCCATGAGGGTGGCATGAGGGCCCCACGTCCTCTAGTGGGACCTGTGCTCACAGCCCAGCACCGTGCAGCTCCATCATTCACCAGAGAACACCAGGACTGGCAGGTCCACCATTGGCGCCCTGTTCTCTTCACAGATGAGAGCAGGTTCACACTGAGCACATGTGACAGGCGTGAAAGAGTCTAGAGACACCGTGGTGAATGTTAACAATTTCAATCAATCAATCAATTTTACTTATAAAGCCCAATATCACAAATCACAATTTGCCTCACAGGGCTTTACAGCATACGACATCCCTCTGTCCTTATGACCCTCACAGCTGATCAGGAAAAACTCCCCAAAAAACCCCTTTAATGGGGAAAAAAAACGGTAGAAACCTCAGGAAGAGCAACTGAGGAGGGATCCCTCTTCCAGGACGGACAGACGTGCAATAGATGTCGTACAGAACAGATCAGCATAATAAATTAACAGTAATCCGCATGACACAATGAGACAGAGAGAGAGAGACAGAGAGAGAGAGAGACAGAGAGAGAGAGAGAGACAGAGAGAGAGAGAGAGACATGCTACCTGTGACATCATCTAGCATGACGATGTGATCTGATCTCATCAGATGTGTGATTTAAGTGTTCCCTTAATTTTTCTGAACAGTGTGTTTCTGTCACAGTTTGATCAGTGATGGATTAGTATAGTTTTAGTATAGTTTCTTCCTGCTCCTTTTGGGACATGAAATGCTTATTTATATTTATTATTGTAAGTCTTTTAATGATTTCTCATTTGTCTCTGTTTTGTAGGTTTTTTACTTTAATATATTCTATTTATTATTATTTATTTTTTTAATTTTTAAATGTTTGAAACAAATCAAAATCAAATCAAAAATCAAAGGTTGACCTAAAGAAAATGTCCCTGCATCATTTCATCATTCCGTTGTTTTAGTGGTGTTACAGTTCGTGGAGACAACATAAAGACCCGTTAAGGACTTGAAACCCAAAGTTAAAGACTGGGGACCCGCAGAATAGTGACTCGGTTCCTCCTCTGGCCTTCAGAAAGAAGCTGACAGGAGACGACGTACATCAAAGACCCAGCTGGACAGGAAGTGTGGACAGTTTATTGGTTTGTGTCTTTGAGGACACCAGGAACGTGTCAGGCTGTTGACGGAGAACTTCCTAACACTTGCTGAAAACACAGAATCCGTCCATCTGGTTTGATATATATAAAAACAGTTTTACAGCCGAACTCTGCGGTCACGTCACTCCACTGAAGTTACCGAGCTGTGTTGTACCTGTCGGAGCCGACCAGGTGAGTGTTTGTTGTCTCTGCAGGTTCCAGCTCAGGTGAACTGAACAATGACTGTCCACAGAAACGTAGAGAACATGACCCTCTGTCCGTCTGATCTGGTTGCCTTCGACAGGAAACTTTATCCAAAGAGCCTCCGGACTCACCTGGAGAAAAACTCCTCCAAACACAAACGTCCTCGACACCTGTTCATCCTGTGTGGTGTCTTCATGTGCTGTACAATATGTATATTTGTTATCACCAGAGTTGTAGTTCAGTCCTGCATGAAGTCATTGAAACTCTGCACAGTAACAGATTTCTGACCCCTGCCAACGTCCCAGACTGTCTCCAGATTCTGACCTCAGCTCTGCGGTCAATTAATTCAGGAATAGACAACGTAGAAGAATTAAATTCTGATAATGAAAGTCATTAAAACAGATGCTGACGCAGGGACTCTCCTCTATACAGGACCTCAACATCAGGTAAGTTCACTGCCTGTTCTCTAAATTTACACTAGCATTACTTTTCTTTTAAACTGTCCAGTGAGGTGGAGTCTCCCTGTCGTCAGGTAGATGGTTTACAGACTCGAGCCACAGCGGCTGAACACTGATTCACCGTGGAGTTGTGTTGGGACGACCAGGAGGCCAGCAGACGATCTGAGGTTCATATCTAAGGAGCCTGTGTGAGAGATAGGCTGGTCCCAGGTCAGTCAGTGATTTAGAAACCAAACAGAATCTTAAAATCTGTCCTAAATCATCAGGGAGTGCCATTGCCAATGAAAGGGTGTAATGGTCTATAATGGTGTGCGAGTGGGTGTAGTGTGTCAAGTGGTGTCGACATGAGTGCCAGGAGCCAAGGTTTTCCAGAAGAACACGGCACTGTAACAAATGTTCAGTGTTATTCACTTCATCTGATGGGTGCAGTCTGAGCTCTCAGTCTGGTCTGCGTCAGTGTTCCAGCTGCATCCTCGACACGTTTCGTGTTTTTAGGTCAATCAAATGAGAGAGCGTCACAGCATCGAGCCCAGAAAAGTTTTTCTGTTTCAGCCTGAGAGAGAAACAATCTGACCTCGGTGATACTTCTGAGGTGAAGAAAAGGTCACAGGTCAGAATCCAAGATAACACTGAGGTTTTATATTCAGAGTCCCCACGGTCATGAAAGTCCTGGAAAAGTTATGAAATCAGAAGATTTTCCAGGCCTGGAAATGCAGAAGTTTTGAATCTACATTGTTTTGGCAGTTTTAAATATTTTCATGAAAATATTAAATAAATATAAACTTCTGAGTTTAAAATATTTCCATGAAAATATTTCATTAATATTTTCATGGAAATATTTTAAGCATGTCGAACATTATGCAAAACGTGTCACCTGTTTCTAATCTCGTGCTGCACTGTGTGAGTGTGGATTGGATCTTTGGGGGTTTTTTTATCCCACAAAAGGAGCGCAGAAGTTTCTCAAAGTTGTAATAGGTGCTAGTTGGTGGCAGATTAGTCCAAACTGAGAGTGAAGATAGAAGAGCTCACACTTTGCTTATCTGTGGGTATGTGTTGTTCAAGGGCCTGCCCATTTTAGACATCTAAATAAGTTATGAAAAGGTTTTTAAATTCATCATTATGGAATATTACTGTGCATGGGAACATCTCATGACCTCACATCAGGAGCCTCTCGTGTACCTGACAGATTACTGGTGTCAAAGAATGTTACAGAAATACTGACGTAAGAACTGTTTTCTTTACTACTCAAAAATCACTTCTTCCATTAAATGTTAGAGAATGATCATAGTTTGAGTGTACATTAATTTTACAGTAAAACTAAAGTATGGCGTTAGAGCTGCTAATGCTAATGGGCATGTAGCTACTTCCATGTTTCAGATGATACGTCATGTTTATCGTCAACCAATGAAGATGAGTTTTGTCCATTAAAATGTTCAATGTGTGGGAACTCTGGGGTTTTTTAACTGTCCACATACTTTTGGCCACATGTGCCTCTGATTCATTCAGAGCTGAGTTATTAGAAGTGGATATTAAATGATGTGTGTGGATCTTTCTTCTGTTTGATTAAAACCTTGATGTTTCGTCCTGAGAATCTTCGTCTGTTTAAACTCGTGTTAATGTGTTCTCAGAGTTTACTCAGAAGGTTCAGGTTTCTGCCGTCTCCTGATTTACAGTTTTTCTCAGTTGTTTACACACAAATACTGGTACTTGAGACACAATGACCACAACATGTAACTCATGCACCAACCCCCTGAACCAATTCTGCTAAACTACAAGCACAATTCCTGCTTTACACTCAAATTGCAGTTCTAAAACACACTTTTTTCAAAACACAATTCTCTGCATTTGGCACAATTTTCATGAAGAAAATCTCTTGTTTTCACAAAGAACACACTGTCATTCAAAATTCTAAAGTTAATTGCCCTACTCTGCACACTGCAAACACCTGTCACACAGTTTTACAATTAGCAATCAGAGCTTTAGCATAAAGGGCAACAGGTGAGCTTTTCTGTTTTGGAGCAATGGATGCCAACACTGGAAACAGAGGCAGAGCCAGAGCCAGAGGAGTGAGAGTAAGAGGAGGAGGACGGGGAGGACGAGGACGAGGAAGGCCAAGGACCGTAATCTCTGATGAGATCCGAGCCACTTTTTCTGCCTGGAGATGGAAAGTGTATGACCGAAATCCACAAACGCGTATACCCCTTCTCCAAGCTATGGAAGATTCATGTGGAGATATAGCAGTTGATGCTTTTCATGGCTGGATTCGCCATGCTAGGCGATATTTCCCCCGCTGCTTGGCCAGGGAAAACATTGCTTGTGATGTGGATGAGGTGCTGTGGCCAGACCCAAACAGAAGAGAGGATGCAGCATAGTTTTGTTTTTGTTTTTTACTGTAACTGTATACAGTAAATTCTTCTGTTTTGTATGTAAACCACTGTATGTGCAACTTTGTGTTGGTGGGGATGTACACTGTGTACATTGTTTTTGTGGGAAAAATAAAATATATTTGTTACCGTGTATTTGTGTGTTCTGAGTATAAAAACAATATTCTAAAATATTTTACAACACACTTATATATGTACTGTCTGTAGTAAGTGTAACACTGAACAAAAAAAAGGCCTAAGTCATTATGATGAATGGAGAAGAAGTGTTTTCCATTCATCATAGTGTTTTACATTGAGCACATCAGTGTTCAACTGGTTCTTATAAATGTCTGTTCATATGATGGTTTGTGTGTGTCATTTGAAAACAAAATACCATTTTGAGAAGAAATAACATTGTTTTGAATGTAAAGTTTCATTTTGCAGGAGAATTGAGGGGTTTTGCCCATTGTGTGTGTGTGTTTTTTGATTTGTGTGTAGAATTCTGAGAGTATGAGGCATGCTTTCAGAAAATGTGTGTAAACAATTGAGAAAAACTGTAAATGGGGGTGGCTGTGGCTCAGAGGTAGAGCGGGTCGTCCACCAATCGAAAGATCAGCAGTTCAATCCTGGGCTCCTCCAGGCTACACGTCAAAGTATCCTTGAGCAAGATACTGAACCCCAAATTGCTCCCGATGGCTGTTCCATCTGTATGTGAGTGTGTTAAAACTGAGTAGCAGGTGGCACCTTGGAGGTGGAAGCATGTCAAAAAATAAATGTAAACAATGGGGAGGAGCATGAAAGTTTAAATGGTTGTATTTTGTTTTAATTTACTGCAGATTTTTAAAGAAAACATGACTTCCAAACTCACCTGCATGTTTCTGTTTTTTACAGTTTCCTGTTTGCAATGACTGATTTTTTTTTGACAAGGTTTTTTTTTTTTTTTGTTTTTTTTAAACCTTGGTGGGTTTGAAATGTTTCCCTTAAAAATGGCCAGAATTACAGAATTTATCACAGCTGGAAACTGTAAATTAAAAAAGTAATAACAATTAAAAAGAAACCTTTAAAGAAAAATGTTTAAGGGAAACATGCCCTTCACACCCAGTATTTTTTAGATTCCTCAAATTACTCCGTTTATCACAGCAAGAAAAACGTTTAAAGAAACCGTTTCTAAAGGAAACGTCCTCTAGACCTGCTTTAAAAAATCAGCAACATGAAACTATTTATCACAGCCAGAAACTGTAAAAACAGAAATTACTTTTGGATTTTCAGATTTCTGACGGTCCTTGAACACATCACACGTGACGCACAAACATCTTAAAGTAGTGATATTTCATCAGAATCACTTTATTTCTCTTTAAAGCTCTTCAAAAATAAAGTGTTTGCACGATAATAGTGAAAAACTGTCCCTGGTCCCCGGTGTGTCCGAGGCTGGGTGTAGTACCGTGGTGTCCCTGCAGGGGGCAGCAGCTCGGTCTGGTTGTTTCTGTCCGTAGAAGAAGAATCTGGAGGTTTTTTTGTGTTCGTGCAGAGGATGGTCGCGGTGCAGAGAATCTAGCTTTAATTAAATAACGTAATAATTAGTTTAAAATTTAAGTAAAGTTCCTGAACGGTTCAGAGCTCCGTTAAATCAACGCTGGAGCAGTCAGCTGACTGACCGCGGGACGCGTCACCAGCTCTGCGAGAGGACATGTATCGTGGTCGGCCTCCTCCGAGAGGAGGATACCCCCCGGCTTTCGAAGGCCGAGGTCCGAGGCCTTACCCGGCACCGTCCTACAGGGACGACAGGAGCCGGCCCAGGCCGCCCTACCACCCCGGCTTCCACCCGGACTCCTACCGCCGGTCCCCGCCGCGCCGGAGGTATCCTTCCCCCGCGTCAGGAAGTCACCGAGGCGGGGAGTACTGGGCCGGTGGTCCGCCGAGAGAAGTGAGTCAGCCGGGCTCTGAATGAGGTCCAGTTAATGTGAACAATTAATGGTCAAACTGGAGCCAGTTAATTTGACTGTGTCTTAATAATGTGTTTTAATTAAAAGCAGCCATCATGTTAGCAGTTTGTTGTTTAGCAGCTGTAAACCAAACTCCATTCAAAAAACAGCCGGTTTATCACAGTCGGGCTTTTCTGCTGTGTAACGTCATTAAACCAAAATATTAAAGCTCCTTATTAAATGTTCCTGACGCAGCGTGTCCACTTCTGTTTTTACACATTTAATGTTTACTGCGTAATTACATTTAATTGTTTCGTAAGTTAATTCATTAAAACACACCGTGCTAATGCTAGCTAACGCTAACTAAGTAGCTAACGTCAGCTCACGGTGGAAACAGGTGGAAACAGTCGGTGTAACAGATCAGGTCAGAGATTTTAAAGCCGCCGATCTGGAGAACACCGTGTAAATATTCATACGGTGAAACTAAAGTTGATGTCCTGGACGTTTATTGTTTATTTTAAAGTTTTATATCTTAAATGACATGATTTATGAATGGAGTTCGTAAGGTGTATGAATGAGATGATGTGTTTCCGGTTTCTGTCAACAAGAAACGTAAACAAAGTTTGTTTATCTCACGTCACGGACACGTTTTTATTATTGATGATTATGAGAAGGTAAAAATGTGTCTCATGACATATTTCACTTTGACTCTATGGAAATCAGCCTGCAGATATTTAACACCTGTTAATACCTGTCAGAATCATTGATGAGCAATTGATTTCAATTCATTGATTACTTGATAGCCATGCCGATAGATTTGTTTCCTGTTTATTGATTTAAGTATTGATTCATTTGTTACTCAGACCAATCGATTGTTTTTGAACGTCAGAGGCAACGTCTTCAGATGTTGGAGAGATTCAGTGGTTCGGAGAGTAGGTTTAGTTTTTAATGTGTGTTGGACCAACAGGTGATCAGAGGGGTATTCCAGGTAGGAGGTTCAACAAACTCTGAGTCTTACCCTGAACTCTGATTTGATTTACTCTGAGATGGGAAACTCTGAGTATCCTGTTCCAGAACAGCTGATTTGAGTTAGTTCAGTCATCTTTGAGTATGTTCACTCTGAGTTAAGCCGACAATAAAAAGCCATCATCAATGGAGCTCCGACTCCACGATTCACCATGGCAACAGGTAAATAAAAGACAGCGCCTCCATTTTAATCCAGTGGATGTAGAGATATTAATGCATGTGTAGCAGACGGTGCACGTTTATCTTTAAAAGAAGAGCCTGAGTCAGAGCGAGGAAAGTGTTAATAAGTTAACCATAAAGTTAATAAAAAAGTTTATTCATCATTTATCAGACTTACATTTCCTTAATGAAGATAAAGTGGTGGAATCTGACTGTGTATCAGGCTGTAGATACATTACATTATATTAATAATATATAATAATATATTTGTTGAGATTTAATCTGATGGGGAAAAACACAGGAGGCAGAAGATTTAAAACATATAGGCTAGGCTATAGATCAAAGACATAAAGACATGACTGTAAACTCACAGTCTGACCCAGTAATAATATGTTTGGTGATTTGCACTTGAAAAGACGTTGAGGTTAAAATACAGTAGATTTTAAAATGTTGCACATCTATTTGTATCTTGACTCAACAGCATTCAGTGACTTTATTTCAGCTACAAATGTAGTAAATGTAAAGACAGTGAAATGCTGCACCATTGCTCACTCAGAAATATGAACATATAATCCCCAATATTAGGCTATAGGAATTATGTTCCATCAGTGCGACCAGTGACATCAGTGACAGAGATCATTAGTCATTGATACTACGTGTCTAAAGCTTCATACCCATTTTTAAAATGTAAATAATTAGACCTACACATTATGTGCAATAAACATTTGGGAGCTGCTCTTACAGACTGACAGTCTGATCCTTGTGCACAGTGTTATAAAAATAATAAATATAAAAAGGACAGAGGTTTGATTCTGAGCTGAGGGTGAAATGAAACAGCGTTTAAGATGGAGGAGACAGAGAAATACTCAGGGTTTATTGAAGTAAACCTGTCAGCGAGCAGGTTATGTTCACAGAGTCTGTTACCATGGTGACTGACTCAGAGTTTCAGTTACCTCTCTTTCTGGAACTGATAACTCAGAGTTTCCCTCATCTCAGGGTTAACTTACTCTGAGTTTTCACTAAACCCGCTTTCTGGAATACCCCCCAGGTGTGTAGGACCAACAGGTGATCAGGTGTGGACTGCTTCTGTCTGTGGAAGATGTTTCTAAATGTGTCACATTCATCTGTGTGAGTTGCAGAGGTCTCCGTCACCTCGTGGACCTCTCGACCACAACCTGGTCATCACCGTCGGTAACGAGCTGATTGGACCATCTGGCTCTGCCCCCTCACGACATCATGACAGGTACGCTTGAAAAATTTAAATATTATTGGCTTATTAGAAATGTCAAATCACTTAAAAAAACACCTTGTGGATTCCAATGTTTTCATGTTCTCATTAGTATTTTGATTATTGACAATTATTGATTATTATTTTACTTTGTCGGTGACAGATCTGACGCTTCATTTTTGAGTCAATGCTAAAACACGAGAGGCTCAAACTCTGATTGTAAACTTGAATGTTTCTGTACAGAGACTACCCTCCTCGACCCGAGTATGAGCGGGGCCGGAGCCGACCTCGCAGCCGCAGTCCGGAACGGAGCCGGGCCAAGAGCCGGGGCCGGAGCAAGAGTCGCAGTCTGGACCGGAGCAGAGCCAAGAGTCGGGGCCGGAGCAAGAGTCGCAGTCCGGACCGGAGCAGAGCCAAGAGTCGGGCGAGGAGCAAGAGCCGGCCCCGCAGCCAGAGTCGTAGTCCGGGCCGGAGACGGGCCAAGAGCCGGGGACGGAGCCGGAGCAAGAGCCGCAGTCCGGACCGGAGTCGGGCAAAGAGCCGGGGCCGGAGCAAGAGTCGCCACCACAGCAGGTCTAGATCTAGATCTAGATCCAGATCCAGAGGGCTGAGCTACGGACGCATTAAGAGCTCACAGAGGAGTCGCAGCAGCAGTTCGAGCTCGAGCAGCGGAGAAGACAGCAATGAGAAATTCGAGAAAGGGTTCAGAGAACTGGAGACGGCCCGACGCAGGAAGGAGCTTGAGGAGATGCTGAGTCTGCCGACAAAATCCATCCTGAAGAAACGCAACGACTCTGAGGACTCGCCATCACTCAGGGTAGGATGCCAACAACTTACCTGCTAACCTCCTATCCTCAAACTCCCTATCAATCAATCAATTCAATCAATTTTATTTATAAAGCCCAATATCACAAATCACAATTTGCCTCACAGGGCTTTACAGCATACGACATTCCTCTGTCCTTATGACCCTCACAGCTGATCAGGAAAAACTCCCCAAAAAACCCCCGCTACTACCTAACCCTTGAGCCCCCCTGACTCCTACCCCAAATCTCCTACCACCTAACCCTTGACTTCCCTAATCCCCTAACTTCTGCTCCTAACCCCCCCCCCCCCCCCCCCCCCCCCCCCCCCCCCCCCCCCCCCCCCCCCCCCCCCCCCCCCCCCCCTCCCCCCCCCCCCCCCCCCCCCCCCACCCCCCTAACCTCCTATGCCTCGACCTCCCTGACTCCTACCCCTTTATTCCCAAGCTCCCTAACCCCCTACTCTCAGGGATGGTCTTTGGTGCTGAGGTGTCTCTCTGATCTGTCTCTCTGTGTTTCAGAGCTCAGACTCTCCCAGAGGTCTGGACGGCTCCAGCATGTCTCGGGTGGCCGACCAGCTGCTGCAGGCTGTTAAAGGCATGGAGCCTCACATGGTGGCGTCAATGCTGTCGGAGCTGCGGTCCGACCCACAGATGGCTCACCGCGCCGGCCTCGACGCTGAGATCAAAGAGATCCTCCACCTGCTGGGGGGACCGTCGGGGGCCAAGGCTCAGGAGAAGGTCATTGATGACATCGACGATGAGGAGAGGTTCCTGTACGGAGACTCGGAGGAGCCAAAACCTCAACCGGTGTCCGAGCCGGTCCGACTCCACGGGCTAGATCTGTACGGAGATGTGACAGAGGAGGCGTTGTACGGAGACTACCCTCCACAGAAACCTGTCATCGCTCAGATGTATGGCCTTCCACCAGGGGCCTCACCTCATATTCAGGCCCCTCCCACCATGGGGGAGATGGACATGAGGTACGCGAGCCAACCCTCCATCAGCCCAGACAGGAACATCACTGTGCAGGTGCCGAACCCCGCCATTCCTCCAGGGACAGAGCCACTGGAGGAGGGCGAGCGCCAGGCACTGGAGGAGTACGAGAAAATCCAGGATTTGTTGAAGACCATTGGCCTGGACCTGGGCGTGACTGAGATCAGCAAGATGGCTGCCAGGACCAAAGAGCGTCTCCATGGAAACAAGCCACCTCCAAAGACACCCACACGCCGCAAGCGGTACTCCTCCGGCAGCTCAGATGACAGCAGGGGCCGCAGGAGGCGGAGCCACAGTGGCAGCTCCAGCAGCACCAGCAGCCGCAGTCGCAGCCGTGGGCGGGGGGGCAGCTGGAGCAGTGACGACGGCCGCAGGAAGAGCTCGGTGCTGTCCAAATCTCACAAAGACTCCAGAGAGCCGAAGGCTGAGCCGCAAGCTGTCACACTGCCGCCACAAACAGAGCCGCCACTACAAACCCCCAACCCCAAAATCCTCCCGCCTCACCCAGGGATGCCCATACCCTCGTACCCCCCCTCACAGGTCCACGGCCTGATGCCCCCCAATTTCCCTCCACCAGCTTATGGCCAGTACGGAAACTACCTTCCCTACATGCACCAGCAATGGCCGCCCATGTACCCGCCCCCCAACATGGCCCAGCCCCCCCCCACCAGCCCAGACGAGTTCCCGCCCACTCTGCCCTACAAACACGCCTACAAAAAACCAGAGCCTGAGCCGGGGGTCAAAGGTCAGTCAGCTATTTAAGGAATATTCCGCCTATAGAAGATTTATCTGTTTATCAGCTGTTTCTTGTCTGAGGAATCACTTTAAATTATTATTAGGGCCCGAGCGACGACGAAGTCGTCCGTGAGGATCCTATTGTAATCGCGCTGTTTATTATTATTATTCTTACGAACATTTAATCCCCAATTTGGCCCCTTTCCCAAATTCAAAAACTCACCAAATTTGGCACACGCGTTTGGTCTGGCGAAAAATTTTATAATCTATTGTCGTCCTGAATTTCCACCACTAGGTGGCGCTATAATCAAGGAGTTTATAATCAAGTGTGTTTTGGCTCATAACTCCCATATACTTTGTGGCACATTCAAAAACCTATTATTCACGCACTCAGTGAATTGTGCTGAATCTGCATGGCGCTCTGGTGGCCGTCTAATTTAATATTTGGCACTGTGCCAACACCATAACACTCATGGAAATAAAATTGATAGGGGTGGTATAGACTGGCCCCTGTAACTCACACACCAAAAATGACCAGCAGGTGGCGCTATTTTCATTGCAAAAGCGTTTTTGTCTAATAACTCCCACATAATATGTCGCACATTGTTAAGCTACGCCTACTTTCGTGGTAACTTTCCTTTCGCTAAATCGCGACAAATGAAAAACGTACTTTTTCGAACTCCTCCTAGGCGATTTGACCGATTTGCACCAAACTTTGCATGTAGCATCTGTGGACCCTTCTGATAAAAAGTCATTAAAAGAATTTTGATCGTCCAAAAAACACCCAAAATATAAAACAACAAATTCCTGCACATTGTTTTAAAAACAGACAGTCTTTCATATCTTGACCAAATACAGTCTGATTACCACAACACTTTTGCTAATTGTGTTCCATGGCCTGATGAGGGATTGTACAAAATTCTGTGCAAATCGGCTAATAGGTGGCGCTCTGGTGGCAGTCTAATTAGTGTGAACGGAAGTAAATTGGAAAATCTTCAAATCCTCTTCAAAACTCATCGACTTTCAACCTCTTCTTGTCCCTCATACTTTGAGCTAGAGACATCATGTCAACTTTTAAAGAGTCAGAAGACTTTTAACTATTGGGCATGTATTCAGCTTCTACTTTTTGGAAAAATACATACGTGGGTTGGTTGCCTACCTGTATACTGGAAATTTAAGTAAGTGATAACTTTTATTTTTTTTATTTATTACAGCTGACAAGACTTCTAGGTGCACGCCCCCGACGGCAGCATGCTCCAACGCGCGTGGACTGCGAGGGCCCGTTCATCGCTGCTTACAGCTTTAATTATTATTATTGTTGTTATTATTATTATTATTAATATCATAATATTGAATTATTTAAAGGAAAATTAAACTTCAGGACTCAGAGTCAGACATTTTGTTTTCTATAATAGCGCAGTGGCAGCACGGCACGTAAAATCAAGATAACCGTTCAGTTTGTGATAAAAGCACCAAATATGGTATAAATATAGCTGAATATATGTAGAAGACATCTGGAAATTGTGGCGTCGCAGATCTGCATTCTGATGACCATGGCAGCAAAATCCAATATGGCTGCCACCAGAAAACCAATTCAGCCATAAGTTTTGCAATGGAACAGATTATTTACTGTGACGTGTCTGGAGACAGAAAGGAAACAGCTCAATCCTACATTTTAATCTGGATGAAAATGTGTTTGTAAATTAGTTTTTTCAGGATGGCGGCCATCTTGGTAATAGGCAAATTAGGGGTCCAGATGCCTCCATCTTAAACATAAACATTCCAATGTGTTTCTGATGGTCAAAAACCATAGTATAGGCACCGAGCATGTATCTGAAGCCCTTTGTTAACAGGAACTGTGCAAATCTGCAGGAAAGCCCAATCAGTGTTTTTTCAGCATTGGCAGTATAAAAACAAAATCGGGGAGTGCAGCAAAATGCCGCCTACCTACTTTTGTTTATACAGAATGTGCCTTTTTCGGGGCAATGGGGGGCGTGAGCAAGTAACAAAACGTGTAGCTCAGCGTGTGACGTAAACAGTGACGTGGGAGGGAAGCCGCGGCTGGTCAGTCCTTCGGTGATTCTCTCATAAGTCGGCCCGTTCTTCACCGTCCCCGTCATCTGACGGTTAATGGCCTCTTCATTTGCGAGGACCAAGGAGGGCGCACAATTCCTTGTCTCCCCAGTTGCTCATCTTTACAGTGTCTGTCAGGTTTGTGTTTCCCTCTTGCTACTAGCTGCCCGCTAATTCCTGCTATCAGCTGTTTCCTGTTTATCCACCGCCAGTGGCTCGCACGTGTGGCGTCATCAACAGCCCCTCCCACAAGTCATCAACAGCCCCTCCCACAAGTCATCAACAGCCCCTCCCACAAGTCATCAACAGCCGCTCCCACAAGTCATCAACAGCCGCTCCCATGGCGGAAGGCCGCCTCGGTCTGTTTAAACTAAAAGGGTTCCACCAATATGTCTACCCTACGAGGCTGAAAATTGGGCATCTCGGATCAACTCGCCAATCCGGCTTTGTGTGTCTAAACGCTCGCAGCTTACTGGCAAAACGGCCCAACATTCGCCGAAAATCTGGCAGTGTAAAAGGGACTTGAAGAAGGTGGTGTTTGTAGAAGACGGAGGTTTGATGGAGCTCCAGGATGTTTGTTTTCGTGCTGTTGGATTACTGAATGTAACTCCTTCTTCTTGTTGTTTGTTTGTTTGTTTGTTTGTTAGTTGTTGTGTCGTCAGGCATGGTGAAGAGTTCTGTTCAGGATGGTGAGAAGGGAAATGTCAGCAGTCATGAGAAGAGAGTGTCCGAGGAACAGAACAACGAGAGCCAGAAACAGAAGGTGTCCCCTTCCTTACGTCATTGTGTTGGTCGTGTCATGTGACTGCAGGTGAACCAGGTGAACCAGGTGAGCTGATCCTGACTGTGCGCTGATGTTTTTGTGTCAAGGTTTTGGAGGAGAGGGAGAAGCTGAAGCAGGAACGAGAGATCAGGATGAAGAAGAAGGAATATCTGATGAAGGAGCTGGAGAGACTCAGGAAGCAGCAGGGTGAGGTCACACACACGGACACCATCTCACACTGCATGATGGCGTTTGTTTACATCATTATTTTTTACAGCGTTTTCAGTTTGACAAATAGAAGTCTAGAACAGAAACATTTTCCAGTGCCTGGTCCGACTCGACTCGACTCACCCATCGCACCAGCTCCTTTTCTTGATCATCTGTTTACCACTGTGGATCATACCCCTCAGTGTAGGTGGGATTCTCAGCTGATCTCCATGGCGACACTGCATAAAACTGCTGTGACATCGTCTTTAACACGACTCTAGAAGATCTGCATCTCGTCATCTGTACAGCACAGTGTGAGTGTACTGTGTAGTCTACGTAGTATTCAGCACACGCTCCGTAGTGTTTGGCGTAGTGTACATACTTTTCGGGATAGTTTTGGTGTAACATTTGGCATAATGTACATGTAGTGTTCAGGGTAGCATACTTTGTATTCGGCTTAGTGTACGTACTGTTTGGTGTAGAGTAGACCATTATCAGCGCAGTGTAGGTAGAATATTTGCATAGTGTACATCGTGTTTGGCGTAGTGTACATAGTAGTGTATGACATAGTGCTCGCTGTAGTGTCCAGCATAGTGTGTTTAGTGTTTGGCGTAGTGTACATACTTTCTGGTGTTCTGTTAGGTGTAATGTGGGCAGTGCTCCGCAGAGTATATGGATAGCGTACGTTGTGTTCCGTGTAGTGCACGTCATGTTAAACATAGTGTTCAGTATAGAGGTAGGCGTTTATACAGCGTAGGCTGTAGGCGTAGTTTGGCAGCATAGTGTATGGCATAGTGTTCGCCGTATTATAGAGTGTAGGTTAGTATTAAGCGTAGTGTACTGCGTAGTGCACAGCATGTTGTGCAGCATGTTTAGCAAAGTGTACACCGTGTTTGGCGTAGTGTACGATGTTGTGTACGTAGTACGAAGCAGCTCAGGTCACTTGGAATCTTGACCAAAGTAGAACAATAAAAAGTCCCAGGTAGTTTCCAGAAGTTTTGCTGATTGAAAACTGGATCAGAGCGAGTGGAGCTGAGTAGATTCGTGTCGTACCGACAGTGGAACTGACACTTTACTGGCTCACGTTAGAGTTCCTGAATGTGATGATGTCATCACGTCACTCACATGTAGACAAAGGCGTGTTCCCACGGAGCGTACGTGAACGTTCACAAATGTTTGTTTGTATGTTTGCTTCACGTTTGTCGTATCTTCCAGGTGAGCTCCTGAGGAAGAAGCGGCGGGAGAAGGGTGGCCACAAAGACCCTCTGTTGCAGGAGATCAGCCGCCTGCAGGAGGAGGTCATGGCTCAGATCTCTAACCTGCGTAAAGAGCATGAGGCTGCCGAAAAGAAACGCAACGAGATTGAGAAGGTCGCGCACATACTTGGCCTCGTCCCGTCCGACCGGCCCCGCAGGACAGCTAAACTGGTTGAGGACCAGGAGGACGAACCACCGCCGCCGCTTCCGCCTCCGCCAGAGAAGAAGAAACGCGAGGCGGACTGGAGTCCTGAGGGACGGCATGCGGCCAGCAGCTCCACAATAAAGGTACAGACACCTGCAGAGGAGGTAAAACAGGAAGTAGGACTGGACCATAGCTAGGGCTCGTTACGGTCAGACTGTGTTTATTTAGTTCAGATAAACAGTTTATCTTCTTAAACGATAATGATGAGTATCTTATTTTAATTTAATAATTTATGATCAAAACTTCGATCAGAAGCTAAATATTAAAGTATTGCTCAGTTATTGATCCTCAATCAGCATAAGCTTATATGTGTTCACAGATAGTCAGTTTGTATCACCTGCTTTTATTTGATTGTATTTTACTTGTTGTTTCTTCCGTCATTGTTGCCGTCGTCTTCCTGTCTGACAGGAAGGGGTGCATTTTTAAGAGTTGAACAGTGTATGATTTAAAATATTGTCGCCCTGCCAGGTCAGAAAGAAAACAATCAGTATCAGGTAATAACGTGAGAAGTTTCTTGTTCTAAAAAGATAAGTTCATATTTTTACAAGATATTTTCATGTTACTTCCTGAGAAGTACTGATCAGTATTTTTGGCCTCAGTGAGCTTCCATAGCTCTCAGGTAATGACAGAGTTTCAGATAAAGGCAGCAGTGATGTAATTACCTGAACTGTTTCAGCATCATGAACATTTTTCACATAAAAAGCCCATCAGGAAAAGGGTCACACCCTTTGAGCCGCCTAAGGCTTTTAATGTGGAAGGTCTGTGCAGGAAGTTGAGTTTTCTAAACGGAAGCTTAAAAATGATGAAGTAGAGTCAGACCTTTATGAAAAATTTTCTTGTACATGTGTGTTTGTCCTTCCTCATCAGCAGGCCCAAACTGAATCTGTGGATTTTTAAATAGTTTTCAGCAAAATGAAAAACTGGTAATTTGATCGACAATATTGATTTATCACATCAGGTGGTCTTGAATCAAAATAACTTCACACAGTAAAACCTAAAGTCCAGAGTAGAGAAAAGTGTCAGCGGTGTGAACTGACCTTTCTGAGCTTGACTCGAGCCGACTGATGATGTCAAACGTCACCTGTTTCAACAACCCAGTCTCACTCTGATGTTGTCAAATACCGGCGCTTGGTCAATGACCTCTGGCATCAGATACCAAAGAAAACAGATGTTCTTTCACTTTTGCATGATACACAACCGGTCACCATTACTGTTTAACGGCATCCAGCAGCCTCAAGGGGAAATGTGGCGTGTCTACAAAAAAAGCTAAGACAGTCGGAAGGCACTAAGGAAGTCTGAGTAGGGCTGGTGGGAGTGGTGGTGCCACCAAGAATTAAAAAAGGCGTCCAACCCGGTACCAGCAAGGTGCACCTAATAAAGTGGCCATTGAGGGTTCTGTGGGGCAGATTCGGTATGGGCCTGCTCATCACACCTGAGCTCAGTCCAACAGGTGCTTCTATCTGTAAAGAGTTTAGATATAATAAACGTGACAAGGTTGTCTGATGTTGTCATGGTGATCGTAGAAAGTTCAGTCTTGAGTTTATGCCGACAGAAACATCATAAAATACGAACCGTGTCATCGCAGGACAAATCTGTTAAACCTAAGTTTCGTTGTCGTCACTGATCTTAAACTTTAAAGCGAGTTAGACGTTCCAATCGATATAAAAGGGACTGTTGGATTCTGGTGTTGTCGAACATCTCGGAGGCTGGAGCTCCGTGAAGGTAAGAAACTTTTCCTTTTCACATTTTGTGGAGTCGAGTTTTAATGAAAGAATGTTTGACTGAATGCTGACTGCGTCCGCTGTTACTCGCCATGTTGACTGTCCTCCATCTTTGTTTCTTAGCAGAGCCCAGTGATGCTGTCGTCGTCGTCATCTTCCAGGGCGTCCCCGGACAAGCAGCCCGTCGCCACCCTGGCTCCACCTCCGACCCCGCCTCCGCAACCGTTTGAATACTATGATGCTGGAAACCACTGGTGCAAAAACTGTAACATCACCTCTGGTTCCATGTTTGATTTTTTCACACACTTGCACAGCAAAACGCACCGAAAGGTTTGTTCTTGTTTTTTACTCCATTTTTACGCAACATGTTTGTCCAGGTACACGACGGTTCAAAAGTCTGTAATCAGCTCTTCTTCTTCTGTGGTAACAGAGATAAAAACTCAGATGGCAGATGTTTTATTGACGTGTTCATGTTCTGATCCTCCGACTGCTGATACCTTCTGTTCGCACTCAGCTTCTGGTCACAGCGGTCTGTGTCACTTCCTGTTGAACCATCAGACAACGTTAAACAAACTAAATAACATCTGACGACTTTCTACAACCTGAACGCATCAGAGACCGTTCAGTCCTCCAACCTCCTGGATTTGCTGCACCTGATACTGTGCTTCACTCTGACCTGTTGTCCTCGATCTTGGACATTTTTGTGCCATCTAGTGGTAGTAAGAGCACAATACACTGATCCATGTAAAAGCAAGATGGCAGCCATCTCTGCAGAGTCAGTCTGGAATCGATCCCGACACAGAAGTGGACAAGGTCCAAAACCTGATCACAAGTTATGGTTCAAACTTGTTTATTTAAGATTAATTAACTATTTTTTGCTTAATATTAAAACGTGATCAGATTTTCAACAGGAACAAGATAAGATGCTGTTAATGAGGAAGTACTCGTTTGACGACATTGGGATCTAACTAATGTCTCATTTTAGGAAATTGGGACGTAATTATTGTCTCATATGTGGACATTGGGACATTATAAACATCTCGTTTAGTATTGTCTCATTTGAGGACAGTGGGACTTTATTATTGTCTCATTTGACAACACTGGGACCCATCGTCCTCATATGAGGACTAGTCTCACCACCAGACCATCAGAGATCTCCGCCTTCTGATAGTCTGGGGACACTCCTTTCTAAAGTGTGTTTAACACAACGGAGAAAATGGCCGGTAACAAAGCAACAGCTCTTGCATTTTTTAAAAGGACACGCCCTCCCGGAAATATGCGCTCCCCCTTTTCTCGTCTGCAAGGACACAAACACACAGAGAGCTTGAAAATGGATGCCGAGAGATTTAACTCCGTTTTATCAAACGTGTGCTCAGTCCACAAGATTGCGGAAATGAAGGACTTAAAGCAACTTGAGCCATTTTGTACCGCTACACGTGTTTCTAGTGGGACTATGTTTACGAGCACAAGAGTTCAGCGAGCCACCGAAGGACCGCCCTGCGGATTTACTATTGGTTCTGCAACGTAGGGAGTTTTTTTTAAACTCTGAAATTGTATCCGCCCATCTAAACACAAAATCAGGGAGAAAGACATCAGTCTTTGGTTAAGCAAAGTGTCTAAAGACTGACTTGAGAGTCTATATGAGGACAGAGTTTTTTTATGCCTCTGCACTGGCGATAGTTGTAGCTAGAGGCATTTTGTTTTTGGGTCATTGGTCCATCTGTCCATCCTATTCTCAAGAACACCTCTGGGGAATTTCCTCAGATTTGGCACAAGCGTCCACTTGGATCAAGTAAGAACTGATCGTTCATGTGACTGGTGGGCGGAGTCATACAACCTTGAGGCGGTTGTATTTATTTTTTGACACGTATCAGGTCATGCTGATCCCACAACGAGGAGATAGAAGGACAAACCAAAGACAAGCTTTGGTCTCAGGAGGACAGAGGACAGCAGATTATAAACTTTTCTACAGTCGTGTATGACAGATTTACGAGAGAATATCTTGATGTCTGAGTGGCGTTCATACCTGGACATTTAATCCTGTCTTTGTCCTCACAGACTCTGGACCCGTACGACCGACCCTGGGCCGTCACTCCTACCAAGATCAGCAAGAACCTGTCGTCAGAGGAGAAGCTGACCAAACCTGCCAAAGGTACTCGCACTGCTCATCCATCACTTCCTTTAACGTCCTCAGCACACTGCCTGTTATCCCATGATGCTGCTGTATGAGCCGCTGAATTTTGTTAGCCGTCTTCTGCTTCCAGGTGGACTCACAGCAGATCTCTGCTGCTGGTTCTGTGTGTCTTAATGAAAACAGTGCTAACGAAGTGACACAGACTCTGACGGACCCACCGAGGAGACTTCCCTCCTCGTCTCTGACATCAATCCATTTGTCTTTCATGTCTCATCCTCACGTAGAGGCTGTAAACTTAAGGCACCGCAGTAACCTGTGGAAACATCTGTCCTTCTTTGACCTGTCGTCCATCGGTTACTGACGTGAAGCCACGTCTCTGATCTGACCACCATCTTTTCTTTATAAACCTTTGTCACCTCTCTGACACTCTCCTATCCTCACAGGTTCTGAAAATGGAGACATCCTCAGGTAAACACGATTGACAGTTTATTTATCACCGCCCGTGTGTTTAAAATGTGTTGGCGTGTGTTTCGCTGCAGGTTCAGAGTTCCTGCTGCCCGTCAGAGGATTCTTCTGCCTGCTGTGTAAAGAGTTTTACGGAGATGCCATCTGTGCAGAAGAACACGTTACCACTCACGCTCACAATGAGAAGTACAAGGTATTTAACTGACGGAGAATCGATACACTGTTTCCACCATCCTCTGCCTGATTGGCTATGGGCTGCTGCAATATCTCGGGACACAAGTTCAGGTGGTTTCAGAGTCTCTACGTATATGTTCAGTTTCAGACCACGTTTGATACAGGTGTCCCAGCCTGTCACAGATCCTACCCAGCGTCAAGTTCTAAAGGTTGTAGCTGTTTGTTCGTTTTGTTTCTGCTTTAAGTTTTTCTGGTCTTGATGGTGTCTCCCTTCTGAATGACATTTAGCACACTGTACAAATTTGCATTATTCAATTTAAGTTAGAAATTCCAGTGACTGACATCCTTTTGATGCAAATACATGTGAATCGTTGCTGTGCAACTTAAAGGGATAGTGTACCCAAAAATGAAAATTCAGCCATTATCTACTCACCCATATGCTGACGGAGGCCCTGGTGAAGTTTTAGAGTCCTCACATCACTTGCGGAGATCGGCGAGTGGAGCGGCTAGCACATCTAATGGCAGACGGCGCCCCAGACTAACGTCCAAGAACACAAAATTGAATCCACAAAGTATCTCCATACTGCTCATCCGTAGTGATCCAAGTGTGCTGCAGCCCCGACATAAAAAGTTATTTGGAAAAACGTCATATGAACTCTGTTTTTAGCCTCATTGTAGCCTGTAGCTCTGACTGCTTCTCTGTTCTCCGCTTTCATTTGTGTGCTCTTGCACGAGACCAGCAAAAGCATGAGCTTTGCTCACCCGTGTTTACATCACGTGACACGTGCACCTCAGAGGGAGACAACAGTAACACAGTAGCTAAAAGATAACTTGCACTACGGTCTTTTAGCAAAGGACAGCCCAACATGTCTGAAGACTTTGAAACTGAGGAGGAACAGCATTTCTTTGTTGAGCCGTATTTGTTTGAGCCTGAGTATACGTATGGAACTCAGGCTACTGGACGAAGCAGCCGCCACAGCTCATGAGCCTCAGCCAGCCTCAGAATACCGGAGTCGAGCACTGGAAACCTGGTGGTGTAGTTGTTTCAAATGCAAAGCAATGCCAACGGATGAGGAAAGTCTTTGCTGCTCAGACTGGGAATTGGTGATGCCTGCACTTGAGAATCTGGACATCAGTACCGACGAGACTGCTGCTCTTCAGAGACCGTGCATCACCGATCACCCTGAGCACACACACGTGAGCGCGGAGCACAGAGAAGCAGTCAGAGCTACAGGCTACAGTGAGGCTAAAAACAGAGTTCATATGACGTTTTTCCAAACAACTTTTTATGTCGGGGCTTCAGGACACTTGGATCACTATGGATGAGCAGTATGGAGATACTTTGTGGATTCAATTTGTGTTCTTGGACGTTAGTCTGGGGCGCTGTCTGCCATTAGGTGTGTTAGCCACTCCTCCCGCCAATCTCCGCAAGGGATGTGAGGACTCTAAAACTTCACCAGAGCGTTCCTCAGCATGAGGGTGAGTAGATAATGGTTGAATTTTCATTTTTGGGTGCACTATCCCTTTGAGATCATAAATCATCACAAATCATGCAGCTGAAACCCCCACGACTTGAATGGAGCGTTAAGCTGGATTTATACTTGTGCAGTGGTGTGTCTGTGTAACTCTGCAGTTACACCTTTAAAACACTAGTTGGTGACAGAGTTTCTGTGAAGTGCTGTAAAGTTTAGATGATTCAAAACACACATTAAACACACATTAAACATGGCTTAATAGAGACAGTTTCAAACACAAATCAGCTTCACTATAACTCGCAGTGTTCACAGACAAATACTTGTCTTTATCTGGACACGTTTTCCCCACAAATACAACATGCTAACGTTATTAGCACAAGCCTTTGGCATTTTGCATTGTACAAATTAGCCTAGCAGCTAGCAGAGATTTCCTCTGCTCATATTTCAGCCAGGATAAATCACACACAGTGTGTGGAGGTTTTATTGTCTTCATGATTTATTGTTTCTTATCTGTGAAATTAAAGTAAATCAAAGCTTTGTTTCCACTGAGGGAAATGGTTTCAGCTCACAGAGACAGACAGGAGGTCTGCGTCACCATGACGGAGGCGCACTTCAGGCTACGCCGTAGCCTGCGGCGTCGATCCAACACAGAAGTATAAATTCGGCTACCCCAACTAGATGTCAGATCATTTGCATTGTTCCAGGCTCTGGTTTAGGTTTTAGGATTTCTGTTAATGTGAATGTCGTTCATTTGCTGTTTTTTCGGCAGGTGAAATGTTTTTCTGACTCTCTTGTCTTTGTGTTTTATCGCCCTCTCACCAGAAACAAATGTATGAGAACCCGTTGTACGAACAGAGGAGGAACCTGGACCGCCAGGCCGGACTGGCCTCTGAGAACAGCGGGAAGAAACGCAAACATGAGGACGAAGACAATGGCAAGAAGGACAAGGAGGAAAAGTCCAAACACAAGAAGGAGAAGAAGGAGAAGAAGAAGGAAGAGGACAATGCTACTCACAAAGAGGAGAAAGTTAAGGAGGAAGAGGAGGAAGAGGAGGAGGAGAAGCCAAAGTCGGGCAAGAAAGAGGAGGATTTTAAGAATGCCAAAAACCTGGAAGAGGAGAGGCCTTCGTATAGCAAGAAAGACGAAGATGAAAAGTACAAATCCAGCAAGAAGGAGGATAAATACCGCCACAGCCGAGAGGAAGAGGAGCGAGGTAAATACAGCAGAAGGGATGAAGATGACCGGTACAAGTACAGCAGAGAAGAAGAATACCGGCACCGCTATCGAAGGGATGATGATGACCGGTATGACGACCGTCCCAAATTTGGGCCGAGAGAGTATAGACCCAAATATGACAAAGACCGAGACGAAGGGAAACTGAAGGCTGAAAAGGAATCTTCGAAAAAGGTTCCTCCAGGAAAACCCGCAGGGAAACCAGAGATCACCACACCTGAACCTCCGCCAAAGCCCTATGAACTGCCCAAAATCCTGTGTGGACCAAGTCCAGCTATGAGGGCAAAGCTCCGCAAGCAAAGCCTGGAAACTGGCAAACCAGCACCCGCAACCATGACCCCGACTTTTGGAAAGTTCACATGGAAGAAACGGGAGAATGTTCTGGCGAAGGAGGCGGAGAAAGTTGCAGCAGAGTTCATCAAGGAAGACGAAGCAGCTGCAAAGCAGAACCCGATCTCAGTGGAGGATTCCTTTGCAAAATCTATGGCTGTTGCAAAGGAGATCGCCCAGAAACTGGGGGGCCAACAAAATATGCCTCCTCCCTGGGTGTCCAACAGCGCCAACCGCGGAAGGATCCGGCCCAACCTTCCTGCACCCGCAGGAAGGGGAAACCGAAGAACGGCCATGATGGGTAGACCGGCACCACTAAATACTTTCCTCTCTATTAGACCCCAAAACTTTGGTTTACAGGGGCAGTTTCAAAAAGAACCATTGTTCTCTGATGGTCTTATGAAGGCTATGAATGCTCAGAACGCACTGCTTGAAGGTAAATCTCAGCCCCCAGCTGCTACACCTGAGACAGTCAAGGCTACGCCTGCACCGGCACCTGCACCGGCGCCTGTACCGGCACCAGTACCTGTGCAGGCACCGGTGCCTGCACCTGTGCCAGTACCAGCGCATGCGCCGATGCCTGCACCTGCACCAGGAATGTCAAGACCTCCACCATTTGATGCTAAACATCCGCCGCCAATGTCAAGACCCCCGCCATTCAAGGCTAAACCTGCACCACCAGTTTGTAACCCTGCACCACCAGTGTGTAACCCTGCACCACCAGTTTCTAAACCTGCCCCAGTGGAAGTAAAGCTGGCACAACCTGTGATGACGTCAGCACCATCTCAAACTACCCCTGCACAATCGGTTGCTAAACCAACACAACCAACACTGATAAAGATAGTGTCTGACGTGGCAGCTCCTGGCGTCCCCGAGAACGAGCAAACTCGTACAGTGTTTGTCAAACCTCCACCTCTCAAGAGCATGGCTGACGTAGCTCAGAAGTCTGAGAAACTTAAGAGTAACCTGGCTGCAGCCAAAGCCCAGGACTTATTTGACATCTTCTACAGCAGTGTTGGCCAATCAGGCCCGTCCTCCATCACCAAACCAGTCACAGATGTCAGACCTGATGAGAGCAGCACCAATAAAAGTCAACTTTCTGCCCTGCAAGCACCAAAACCACAATCTCAGAGTAAACCTGTTACCCAGTCCCAACCTCCATCTGTGGTCTGTAAATCTCCGCAACCAGACTCATCAGGTACCCACACCCAACCAGACTCATCAGGTGCCCACACCCAACCAGACTCACCAGGTCCCAAAACCCAACCAGACTCACCAGGTCCCAAAACCCAGGTAGACTCACAAAGTCCGGAATCCCGCCAAGAATCGGACATTCAGATCGCATCTGTTTGGTCCTTACAGCCCACCCCAGCCACAACACTTGAGGTGGCTCCATCTGAAACACAAAAAACCCAGCCACAACTTAATCCACCAGCCCAGTCTGAAGCTCAGAGTGTACCCCAAAACCAGTCCTCGACTTCTGAATCTGGGTCCCAAATCACCCCACAAACCAAGTCTTCTAACCTGGAGCCAACACCTCAGACTCAGTTTCAGCCTAAACCAGCCACTCATATCCAAACAGATCCCCAACCAGACCAGGACAATCAGCCCCAGTCCCATCTAGAGACCCATTCTAGCACTGCTCCAGAACCTGAACCCAAGCCAAGCCCCAAAACTAGAGGCAAGAGAACCCCTCCTGCCCCCCGCCCTGTTCGACAAACCAGATCCCAAACCAGATACCAGACCCGGCAGCAGCAGCAGAGCCAGTCCGAGCCAGAGCCAGAGCCTGAGCTACCTTCGGGAGATTCTGACTCTGTAACTTCAGATCCAAAGGGGCTGGACACGTCAAATCCTGGCTCCAGGTCAGAGCCAGAGGAGGGGGCACCCAGAGAGGAGGACTCTAAGAAGGAGGTCACCCCTGAAACCCTGGGCCTCCCCTCAGACATGACTTCCCTGAACTTTGATTATGATTTTAACTTTGAGTAGGAGCTGACCGGACTGTTTCTGTAGAACCACTTGTACAACCTTTCATCAATAATTTTCTGGACTTGAAGGTAGCTGGAAGAGGTGGGGAAGACACTGATGGACTTTAAACACTGACCTTCATCTGTCTGATGTTTAGTGATACCCTGTTGTTGTCTGTCTTTTCTAGAGCCTAATGCTTCAGATGGATTTCACTTTAAGTCCGGTGAGTCCAGAACAGACATGAGTCCTGGATGTGAATAAGCACCTAGAAGGATAGTGAAGGATTGACCTGCCCACTTGCTCAGTGATATGCTGGTAGTTGTTGAATTCGATGTTTGGATTGGTCAGGTTTAGGTAAGAGGCATTAAGATTTGTCAGGGTAAGACTGTCACAAGCAGAGTAAGGTGGGCCATTCTTTCGCTTTCCCAGGAAATTCAAATTCACATCCAGGTCATCTGTAGACCTGAAACGTAATCATCACCAAAGGGACAAAAAAACAACAATCAGTGTCAGAATAATTTGTACAAAGTATTTCCTTTGGGTTACGGGATACTTTGTGTGGTCAGAAGGTTCGGATCTGTTGTTCGTGGTCGTCAGACCCAATCTCAGGTCCATCCAAGGTTCAAGGGGTTATTCAAAGGTTCTGAGAGACGATTGACACGACAAGAAATCTGAAAAATACAATTTGTGAATTTCAGAATATTTCTTCATCAGGCGTCTACAATTACAAAAATAAGCACTTTCTGTTTGCTACCTATGGAAATGTGGAGCCATTGACTCGTTTTAAAGGATTACAGGTGGAAACATTCACACGTTTGTCAAACTGATATCCACCGTCTCACCTGACTCTGAATTCAATGTGACGCTGTTCCTTTAAAGGTCACGGTTCTGTCTTTGTCACATGGCCACAGGTTTAAACGTCCAACACATCACCTGTTGTTTTTTTCTTGTTTTATATTCAAGTTTATTTTTTCCTTTTTTAAATGACGAAGAGTCGGACCAAAATCAGCTCAGCGAGTCGACGTGTTGACGCTCTGATCCGAGATCAGTGTTTGGGTGTCGGAAAGAAACCAACTGCTCGTCCTGTAAAATCTGTTACTCCATGTAGAGTTTTAATAAAAGTTAGTGGAGAAACGACAGCGCCTCCATGTGTCCTGATTATTATACAAACCTGTCCTCCTGTAACTGAGTACTTTTACTCAAGTACTCTACAAATCTGAGGTACTTTTACTGTACTCAAGTATTTCCAGGTTCTGCTTTGTCTTTCTCTGTCTCAGAGCTACATACTTTATGTCACAATAAATATGTGGGCAAAATTGTCCCTAACCCTGATTGACTGGTCACGGAAAACCTGGAAAAGTCATTGAATTTCACAGTCACATTTTCCAAGTCTGGAAATGTCATGGAATAAGTATAAGTCATTGAAAGTTTTGAATAGTCATGTAATTAGTAAAAGTCCTTGAAATTTTTTTTTGAAAAGTCATGGAATTAGAAAAAAAAAGTAACTGAAAGTTTGGAAAAGTCATGGAATAAGTAAAAAGTCATGGAATCAATAGGAAGTCATTGAAAGCAAGGAAAAGGCATGGAATTAGTTAAGTCATTGAAATGGTTGGTAAAGTCATGGAATCAACAAATAGTCATTGGAAGTTGTGGAAAAGTAATGGAATCAATCAAAAGTCCTTGAAGCTTTGGAAAGTCATGGAATCAATTAAAATTCATTGAATGTTTTGGAAAAGCCGTGGATAAGTAAAAATCATTGAATGTTGGAAAGTCATTGAATTAATAAAAAGTAATTAAAAGTTTTGGATAAGTCATATATTAAGTAAAAGTCCTTAGAAGTTTTTGAAAGTTATGGAATCAAAATTCCTTGAAGTTTTGCAAAATTGTGGAATCAACAGAAAGTCAGTGAAAGTTCTGGAAAAGTCATGGAATCAATGAAAAGTCACTGAAAGTGGAAAGGTCATGGATAAGTAAAAATCATTGAAAGTTGGAAAGTCATGAAATTAGTCCAAATCATTGAAAGTTTTGAAAAGTCAAGGAATTTGAAAAAGTCATTGAACGTTTAGGAAAATCATGGAGTAAGTAAAAGTCCTTCAAAGTTTTGGAAAAGTCATGGGATTAACAAAAATCATTGAAAGTTTAGAAAAGTCATGGAATTAGTAAAGTCATTGAAAGTTTTGGTAAAATCATGGAACAAGTAAAAGTCCTTAAAAGTTCTGGAAAGTCATGGAATCAAAAGTCATTGAAGGATTGGAAAAGTCATGGAATTAGTAAAAAGTCATTGAAAGTTTTGAAAAGTCATTCATTGGTAAAAGTCCTTCAAAGTTTTGGAAAAGTCATGGGATTAACAAAAATCATTGAAAATTTTGGAAAAGTCCTTGATTTTTTCAATAATTCTTGAAAGTTTTGGAAAAGCCATCAACTGATAATCGTCCGTGTCCTGTAACATAACGGATTTATTTCCTGAAGCTGCCTGCGTGGTGTAGCTCTGATGTTCATTGACGTGACGTTCGTTTATCATCAGGTACGCGTCCCACCTCTTCCTGTCATCCAGCCTCTTCCTGTCCGTCAGCTGCTGTCCCGCCTCTTCCTGTCCATCAGCTGACTGAAATCATGTTTGAACAGAATTTGAACCTGATGTTTGAAAATTGCTGCTCAGGTGGGACAAGGTAAAACATATTTATTTTATTGGTCCTTGAAAAATCTTGGAAAAGTCCTGAAATCCATGAAAATGTGTTTGTTTTTCTTCAGTTTTGGGTTTTTGTAAAGTTTAAAATCAAATTCAGAGAGTCGTTAAATAAAGCCGTTACACTTCCTTCAGCTGAATGATCCTGTTTAACTTCAGCTACTGTTACTGAACTTTTTTACAGTGTGGCACTGTTACTGCAGTGGATTACTTTTTACAGTGTGGCACTGTTACTGCAGTGGAGTACTTTTTACAGTGTGGCACTGTAACTGCAGTGGAGTACTTTTTACAGTGTGACACTGTTACTGCAGTGGAGTAATATTTTTTTTTCCTTTTACAGTGTGGCACCGTTACTGCAGTGGAGTATTTTCTTTATTTATTTTTTTTCTTTTCTTTTACAGTGTGGCACTGTTATTGCAGTGGAGAATTTTCTTTATTTATTTTTTATTTTCCTTTTACAGTGTGGCACTGTTACTGCAGTGAAGTATTTTCTTTATTTATTTTTTTCTTTTCTTTTACAGTGTGGCACCGTTACTGCAGTGGAGTATTTTCTTTATTTTTTGTTTTTCTTTTACAGTGTGGCACCATTACTGCAGTGGAGTATTTTCTTTCTTTATTTTTTATTTTTCTTTTACAGTGTGGCACTGTTACTGCAGTGGAGTATTTTTTTTGTTTTGTTTTTTTCTTTTACAGTGTGGCACTGTTACTGCAGTGAAGTTTTTTTTTTTTTCTTTTACAGTGTGGCACTGTTACTGCAGTGAAGTTGTTGTTTTTTTCTTTTACAGTGTGGCACTGTTACTGCAGTGCAGTATTTTTTTTACAGTGTAATTTGTTCTATAGATATTTCTATAAACATTTATCTTATTCTTACAGATGGGTATATTTAATGTTTTAGAATTTTTTTAAGTTTTTAAAATATTTTTCTGATTGTATCATATTATTGAATTATTTTAGTATTTCTATTTGGTTATACTTTAAATATATATTCTTAACATTGTATATTCGATTTATATTTTAAAGATATCTTATTCTTACAAAAGGATATATTTAATATTTTAGTATATTTATAGTGTTTTATAGTATGTTTTTATTGTATATTACCTAAAGATAAATATTTAATTCTTGCAGAATATTTTGTTTATATGTGTTTTTACTAATGAGTGTATAAAATGTGAGAGATCAATAAAGTTGGGTTGAACTGAATGATTGTGTGCTGTGATGTTTCTGACATGAAATAAAAACAATAAAATAATGATGATGTGTGATTAAAGTCAGCCTGCAGGAAACTCCTCAGAAAACCTCAACAGAACTGAACTTCATATTGAACACACAGAAACATGTTGTAATGACCCTTTAACCTGTGACTGTTTGAGATGTAGGACGGCACGGTGGTGTGGTGGTTAGCACTGTCACATCACAGCAAGAGGGTTCCTAGTTCGATCCCAGGTGCTCTGACATGTTCTCCCTGTGTCAGCGTGGGTTTCCTCCAGGTGCTCTGACATGTTCTCCCCGTGTCAGCGTGGGTTTCCTCCAGGTGCTCTGACATGTTCTCCCCGTGTCAGCGTGGGTTTCCTCCAGGTGCTCTGACATGTTCTCCC